GGACTATGATGGCCCTAACGATGACCTCTGAAGCCCCTTACGACTACTTTTGAGGGCCCTTACGATTACGTTTGGTGTCTACTGCAGGCTCGAAGGGACTACTGATTCGTTCAGGCGATTCACGTGCCCATTTATGTCACTTATAATGCAGGGGGCATCTTCCCCAACGCCAGGGGGCGTCTTTCCCACCCTGTGGGGTAAGATGCCCCCTTTCACTTCTTCAGGAAAATGCTTAATAGCAAAAAGAGTTATCATATTTCAGGCACGAAAGAGTGATATTTTTGGAGAAAAATGATGTCGGCTTCCGTTGAAACTCCAAGTTTTTGCTTTCCGATCGTCATTTTCGAATAATATATGACATAGTAAAACCCTGGGCATCTTTCCCCACTCTCCCCTACAAGCCGGGGTTCCTTAACACTCCACAGTACACACATGAATTCCGATTCATATTGACACAGTTGGTTTCGTATTGACCTGTACGTACAAAAATTTGCAAAAAAAAAGATCAAAACACGGAGGGGCCTCCTCTCTACAGAGGACCACCTCTCTACTGTGGGCCTCCTCTTTTCACAGGGTCTCTCAACTACAGAAGGCCTCCTCTCTACAGAGGACTTCCTCTCTACTGATCGGGTCTATCGCTTTCAGAGGGCATCCTTTCTTCAGAGAGCCTCCTCTCTAATCTTTACCAGGGGACCTCCTCTCTACAGAGGACCTCATCTCTGCAAAGGGCCTCCGGCCTCCTCTCTACTGAGGCCTGAGGGAGTCCTCTCTACAGACAGCATCCTCTCTTCAGTGGGCCTCCTCTCTACAGCGGGCCTCCTCTCTTCAGAGGGCCTTCTGCTTTCAGGCGGTCTCCTTTCTACAGAGGGCCTCCTCTCTACACAGGGCCTTCTTTCTACAGATGGTCTCCTCCCTCCCTACAGAGGGCCTCCTCGGGGCCTCCTCTCTACAGAGGACTTCCTCTCTACTGAGGAGTCAGAGGGACCCTAGCGGTCAAACAAAGACACTAGCGGTTATTCACAGGAGGCCCCAGGAAGTAACAAGGACCCTAGCTAGGTCAGGCTGGTCAGAGGCCCTGAATGTCCTGACGCGATTTTTGGGATTCCCTTCAATTTCTTTCGCCTCCGACGTGATTTTGGCCCCGTGGCCTTCGGCCCACGGGGGGCTCCTAAAAAAAACCCAAGGGGGGGGGGGCGCCCCGTCCGCCCCCCCCCCCTTGGGTGCGTCCCTGAACAATTGTCCTCATCGTCCGTCCTACTGTCTGTTCCACCCACATGGCCTTGCACCCACCCCTAAATAAACGAAACGAAGCTGTCGAGTGTCACGCCTTTGTTTTGTTGTGTTTTTTTCTGCTTTCTGCGCCGCTTTAGCGTGCGTTCGGTATCCGGAAAATATTATCGTTTGGATATTATCGGCCGGAAAATTATTGGTGAGCACCTATCTTCAGCATGTCTTGTTATCGCGATACCGAACGTAATCCCCGATAATTATCGCTGATCCCGGATAATTTTCCCCGATTTTCCGGATGCCGAACGCACGCATAGTAACATCCAAAGGTTTTGTGCTGTATCGTCAGCTGATTATGCCTACGATGGCGTCAAATTCCGTAAAAAGGATTTGGCCTTCTTCTGAAGGCGGGACATAAAAGATATCTTAGAATAAAGATGAAAAAACAGTTAAAAGTTAGTGAACATGAACATTTCTTTCGCCAAAAAGTTTTAAGATAATGCCTGCTTATTTTTATTCATTATGACGCTATCATTATTTAAAGATTTGACATAATCATAAACATAATCAGATGACGATATTTCACCGGCCTTGATTTCACCTCTATTTTACCTTTTTTTACTTTTTTTTGGATTTAGGGCTTTGTATTTTACTAGTCTTGTTGCAAAAACGGTGTGACAACGTTCGGGAGGGAGGTGAGATAAACGATGCATTATTTTCGCGAAGGTTGTGTGTGCTCGTTTATGTGCACGATCTGGAACTATTAAGAAGAATAAAATTAGTTGTCGAGTGATATGCAGAATGCTTGGCTCTTGTAAAATACCGCAACCGATATTGATTGGTGACGCCTGCTGTACGGTGTTTTAACATGCTGACCAATTGATTATTTCAGGCTTGCTAAAACCACAGTTGATTTTTATGTTTACTTTCCTGGTTAGTTTAAAGGCCAAAATTGGGTAGTCGTAAAGCAGAGGCCCTAATCCCAGACTCCAGAGATGCTTCCTAATCGGACCAAACCAAACCAAACCTAACCAAACCTGACCTTGCCTCACTTACAACCTACAACCAAAAACCTGCAACCTACAACCTAAAACCTATCACCTAAAACCTACAACCTACAGCCTAACCTAAAGTGTCTCTCCTTGGATGCAAAAAGAAGTGTGATGCCTGCTTTACTACTAGGTACCCGAAATTGTACCATTTAACCTTGCCAAGTTAAGCTTTCTTTGATTTGTCCACATTTTATAATGTTGGGGGGGCTGCCAGGCAAGTTGAGGGGGCTGGCCAGCAAGTTGGGGGGGCTGAAGCCCCCCCAACTGTATAGGATCCTACGCCCCTGATCGCCTCATTCCTTCAAGATCGCCAGCAGCAGGTTGTGGTGAGAGGCTGCTCCTCTCCATGGGCACCAGTCACCAGCGGCGTGCCTCAGGGCTCTGTTCTTGGCCCCATCCTGTTTATATTATACATCAATGACCTGCCCAGAGTTGTCAACAGCGCGATCAAGATTTTTGCTGACGACACAAAGATATACCGAAGTGTGTCTCACAGCACTGGGTCAGAGGAACTCCAGAGGGATCTTCAGGCAGTCATCACGTGGTTTGACAGGTGGCAGCTCCCATTCAACGATACCAAATGCAAGTCACTTCATGTGGGGCCGAGAAACCCCTGTCATACCTACAAGATGGGAGGAGCCGAACTTGAACATACTCGGGCAGAGAAAGATCTAGGAATCTTCCTCGATGATGAGCTGAAGTTCCGCAAGCAAGCTGCTGCAGCATCCTCAAAAGGAAACCAGTTACTTGCTCTCATCAAGTGATCCTTCCTTTGTATTGACAGGGTCACCCTACCCTTGCTGTACAAGACGCTTGTAAGACCCCACCTAGAGTACGGCAACTTGATATGGGAACCCTTCAACCGAGCCGACCAAAAGTTGATTGAGCAAGTGCAGAGGAGAGCCACGAAGCTTGTTCGGGACATCAAGCATCTACCATACCAGGAGCGTCTCAAATGCCTGAACCTGCCATCCCTCTACTACCGAAGGAGAAGGGGTGACATGATCGCAATGTACCAGATCTTCAGTGGAGGTTTAGATGTCCAGCCTGAGAAATTCGGTATTTATATACATAAGGTCCGATCGCCAAAGTAATTATAAAAAACATACCACACGATGTATTTTGACCTGATCTCGTATCTGATAGTTATTCATGGCGCAACCAAGTTTTAAAGCACCTTTAAAATATTTACCGTCACCACCTGCCACTACCGCACTCCACCAGCCATTTGCGCCACGTGGAAAGGATCGAATGAATAATCTCCAAGGTTGAGTGAAAACATTACGCTATTCGATTTTCTTATGAAAGTGACATCATAATAATACTCGTGGCGGAGCAGTGCAGTGCCAAAGGCCCAGGAAGCCCCAGGCCCAATCAAGAGTCAGAAGACACGCACTGTCAACAAGAGCTGTGAACGACTGGAATGCGCTTCCTCCTTCTGTGATCCTGGCATCCACTCTCAACCAGTTCAAGGCCAGACTGGACGATCACTGGAACCGAATCAGATACTCCATCCTAGATTAGTATCCACGAGAGTCCTCAGTTCAGGAGCTCGATGCGATCGGGACCCTACAGGCCATAGTGGCCATCAAAATTCCCGTATTGGTAAGGTAAGGTAAGGTAAGTAAACCACCGCATCTGGATAAAATGACCTCCCTCTCAACTTAACATATTATTTTTTCATCAACATAATTGTTTTGATCAATATTGATCATTTTTGGATGCTTCAATTTTAAGCTCCAACTTTAGGCCACAAAACAAACTAGGTACCATACAAAATACGGGCACATTAAAGCTGGCTTCTTCTTCTTGCACCAGGTGGCAGCACTTCTTTTCGAAAATAAGTGCCAATCTTTCCAAAATCGTGATTTCCTCACTGAGGAGTGAAATCGGCTTCATCATTGCCAAATATAGCAGAATCGTTGCCATTTTTGGCACGTGTGCCAAAAATAGCATGTGCTAAATATGATTATTGACCAAACCTCCCCGACTGATTTGGGGTATTCTCTTAGCAGATGTCACCCCAGCTGCCATATCCAGTAAGGTAGGTTGGTAGGTTAGGTTGTAGGTTGGTAGGCTCTAGGTTGTAGGTAAGGTTAGGTCAGGTTAGATTGTTTTGTTATATATTTAACCGTGAAGACAACTGTTGCGCACGTGAGATGTAGAATGTAGATATGGCAGCTCGGGTGACGTCTCCTAAGAGAGTACCCTGATTCGGAGGTTGCATTCTAATGCATTAGCCCCTCTGAATCCAAGTGCTGCAACTTTGAAATAAAATGCTTTCTATTTGAGGCAATTCTCGATCTTGTGAGTGCTCAAACCGGTAAGTGCAAGCCAGGGACCCCATTTTGGCTATCTCAACTCTAAACTAACGTTAAGGCGGGATGGTCACTTTAACCAGAGCCCCTGGTCTTTTATCAGGGTATAATTGTTGACGTATGCCATCAATCTGATATCTAATGCATACATACATGCGTGGGGATTGCTTTATTTGCCACAACTCTGAAATGACACTCTTTTTTTGTCTCCAGTACGAATCGGCGGCGCGAGGGGCGCGAGGAATTGGTTGGATATTGGGAACTTCTATTTATATTAGGTACGTCTTAACAAGTCACGAAAGTACTTCCAATGATAGTTCCAATAATATAATTTATTTGGGGTTAATGACTGCGATATAGATTATTCTATTCATAATGCTATTACTTTTACCCAATCTCTTACCTTACTTTTCTGAATCCCCGCTCGGCAGCAACCACGGACGTATCAAGAGCACCGAGCTCTGTTCGCCCGCTGCTGTCAAAACAGCTTCCCCAACAGCCCACTAGGTGGCTACTGTGTTGAAGAGATAGGACTGTGCTGTTGACCAATGAGAGGCCGAGAAACGCACGCAGGCTGCTGACGTAGGCTGCCGTGCGCTTACTACGGGCAACCACAAAAGTGAGATATTTCTTCTTTTAATGGGGCCACAGAGTGATCTAAAACGCAGACAAAAAAGTTACCGACCCTACAAAACCACTGCCACTATCCATACGCTGGCTGATGGACGAGATTGTCGCCTAGCAACGGAGACCACGTGAATTTGTCCAATAGGAGCTCGAGTCGCGCCAGCAGTGTGTGACGTAGGCTGCTGTTATAACCGCAGAGTTCGTGCGGTCGCTGTGGGCCAACCGCAGCGAAGGCGCGGCCCATTTGGGCGCGCCCCGCGCCGCTGTCACACGTGCGCCAAACAAGCTGAGCAATGTCCCTTTTGATTGTCGCTTAGCAGCGGAGACCACGGTCACGACGTACTTTTGCGTACTTTTGTCTGCAGCCCCATCCGTTAGCTGCGTAGGTTTCATGCAGGTTTCATGAAAGTAATCTTGGGTTTCATGGCTCGACGCTAGTGACCTCTATATTGAACTTCATCAACGCGCTAGCGACATCTTGCAGGAGCCGAAAGGACTTGGCATTATGCAGTGAATCATTCAAACTTTGCAAATCATTGGCAACTTTGCCGAGAACATAGGCGGCGGAATGGGGAGGGCACCGGGGCACCGTGCCCCCTTTGATTTTGACATTTTTACATTAGCCCTATGGGCGTTGCATGGAAAGAATTTAGAATGGGATGGGACCAAAAGTCGGCAGTGCCCCCCCCCCCCCCTTTGAAGGTGTTCTGCCGCTACTGGCCGAGAATACCGATGTTCCTTTCGCACCGGGCGTCGGTTCATCACAGGTGTTGGTAGGGCTCGAATAGCACAGTCAAATAGCACAGCTATTCTCCCTTAAAGGGAGATAATGACCTTTTTCCACAAAATCTGAGTTAGGACCATTTTCTGACAAAACACAACAAGTTATATTGTAAATTAAAACCATTTTGCTCAATTCGGTACCTTGCCGCAAATATCTCAACTTGAAGTCACGTTAGCGGGGAGCGCTGAAAATGACCGTTGAATAAGTACTTACATCACTTTTTGGTACTTGCATGTAATTTTGTAAAATGAGCGTATTCCTTACATTTGATCTTCATCACATCTAGTTAGTTAATGGTCGTCTATAGTGCCTTCAAAAGATATTCATGGTTTGGGGGTGGTTTATGTCTAAATTTACGCAACTGTTTTTCCTGTTCATCATCTGACGCCATATGCTGCTATTTTAGTAGCAACGACTCAATTTTGAATCGGTCCCGCCGACTGCACAATAAAAGAAGATAGATACCTACAACACTTTTGCGGCATCACTGAAAAACTTATGCAGTACTGTTATCAAAATTCTCATAACACCGTTCGACAAACCTGAATTCTTTTTGAAATAAATATGCTTGTATTTTTCGCTTCAGGCTCTGACGCCAAAATAATGAATTTCGTAGTCGCAATCGCAAGATTTGGCTGCGTTTCTGGCGCATGCCGTTCATTTGTGGTGCAAAATAATGTAAACAGTGTCATATCTCTAGGCACTATGTACCCCCGAATTAGAATCTAATTAATTCTAAACCGAATTAACTCTAATTCAAATTAGAATCCTTACAACCAAGCAACGACAAGGCGATAACATAAACAAAAACCCAAGCGTCGCTGTTTGAAACAAAAGCGCCATATACTGCGACTTTTTTATAGAGAAGGACAACGCATTTCGGTGGGTGTTACAAGTACTGCAAGTACTGCTTCTTTTTTGCAAAAATAAAAACCTTTTTCACATACGAAAATGTGCTAGGAAATTTTCATATTTTATAGAAACTACAGTAGAAATAGTATAGATGTCCAGTAATTTTTATTTAAAGGGAGATAATGAGCTTTCTTTTTTCTTAAATAAAAATTACTCGACATCTGTACTATTTCTACTGTAGTTTCTATAAAATATGAAAATTTCCTAGCACATTTTCGTATGTGAAAAAGGTTTTTATTTTTGCAAAAAAGAAGCAGTACTTGCAGTAGGGTAAGGTGCCTAATTAGCGACCCCCTTAATTTGAACCGTCATTGCTCACGCTCTGTGGGTGCCACTGTATTACTGGCTTGATTTTCGGAGAGGTCGTTCATTTTTCGATTAAAATATAGTCATTTTCTGCCCCAATATTCACTAAATTGTTTGTAGTGAGCATTTTAGCAAACCATTGCAAAAAACGCTAATAGGGAACTCTTCCCGATTAGCGACCAGGGAGGGTCGCTAATAAGTCTATGGGTTTCCCCATATTAAAAATGGCAAAAAATGCGACGCCTGAAAAGATGTAATATTATCTCAAAAAGGTAACCTATACGCAAAGCTCACTCAATCACTCGAACAGGAACGTTTATCCAACACATTTATGTAAGTAAAAACTGATCACGTGATGCACCGAAGGCGAAAAGAAGGCGGAAACCCAAATTTTGCGGGCTGTCTCGTATGATATTCGAGGTCCGCGCTGAATTCGGCACCCCTGCAGTCGGTGACGACATTTGACATCCCCTGCCACACATTGCAAGCTTCAGCAACACCTCATTTTCATTTCTCTCCTTTCCCCTTTCTTTCCCTTCTTGAGCTATTTGCGACCATGTCAGGCGCAAATAGGAAATATGAGTTGCGACACATTTTTAACCGCCATGCTGTGCACGGTTAAGCGATTCACTATGGGAAAACGGCAATCAATTGAAAAAGGAATGTCGATTCAGAATAAAAAAGGTGCATCATCCTAATGTGCATCGCTTTTCATCAGAGAGGGCCCAAACACACACGTTTTGGATAAGAAACTCGTCATTTTCATTTAAACCAGGGGTCGGCAAATGGTGGGGCATGCCCCCTTTGGGGGTAATGGAGCCCTTTCGGTGGGGGTAATGAGGGATTCTGAGAAAGCCTATCTTTTTAGAGTTTGTAGCTCCAGTGATGGAGCCATCGTGACTGTTGCATCCCAGGGTTCAAAGATTAGCCCAGGCCAAAGGCACAGCACACATTGATTAGATACCAATTTTCACGTACCTGCTCGCCTCACCATCTCACCCCTCCGTACAGTCGTTCAAAAGCAGCTGCAACTTTTAACCGTCGCCCGTCTGTTGGCGTTTCAACAGCCGCTAACGTAAGGGGGAGGAGTCGATCGGACCCCCGCGGCCTCTCGGACTCTGATATGGGGCTGTGCATAAAAAAGACGAGCGTGCTACCCGTGACCATAGGAAGCCGCTGCTGCCCATTTTTAAGGTCCTTGGTCATTCCGTCTCATTCAAGAGGGCAATGATAAGTGTCGAGAAAATCGGGACCCGCTATAACTTCTTGAAGTGAGATTTTATGGCTCAAGATGATCTCCAGAAAAAGCTCATAAGCTAACGGTCATTATGGGTCCAGAGGCCAGTTTTACCAACAGAAAAATAGCCGCCTGCCGGAATTTTTGCCTAAAGATCCTTTCACATATGGAGCGTAAACGGTAAAGCCCTATCCGCTTACGAGCCCATCGCGTTTACGCTCCGTATGTGAAGCGGTCTTGAGGCAAAAATTCCGGCAGGCGGTTATTTTTCTGTTGGTAAAACAGGTCTCAGGTCATGATATTTTCCGGGCTGGTGAAAAAAAAAAAATGATGGGCTCGAGGGTACAATTTGGTCGTGATCCAATGCCTTTTACGTGAGCTTTTAACGAAAAACCACCCGCCGCCCCTATACGTACAAGGGTTAGATGGGATATAGCATAGGCGGCGGAACGGGGAGGGCACCGGGGCACCGTGCACCCTTTGATTTTTGCATTTTAACATTAGCCCAGCCCTATGGGCGTTGCATGGAAAGAATGGGACCAAAAGTCGGCAGTGCTCCCCCCCCCCCTCCCCCTTAATTGAAGGTGTTCCGCCGCTACTGGGATATAGGCATTAAATGTTTTGTGGAGGAAGTGTCATGTTTTAAATTTGATGCATTGGAAATGCACAAATACCCAAAGAGTTCCAGGACGGTATGGAATTTCAGTAAACTTAGTTGTGTCAGCAATGGGGTCTGGTAGGTGGGGGTAATGGCCCTGCCTGGCGCCCAAAAAGGGGGCACGACCCCGAATGACCTGCCGACCACTGATTTAAACTCACCTGAAACGTCCCACCAGAAACATCGACAACCGTAAAATAATTTAATTTGATAACCAAAGTATAGCTGACCTTTTGACGATGTTTTTACCCTGTTTTCTCCCGCCAGTTTTTCTGTAGGGAGGTAGGTCGCAAATCGGAAAGGGTCGCTAATTAGGCACCTTACCCTACTTGTAACACCCACCGAAATGCGTTGTCCTTCTCTATAAAAAAGTCGCAGTATATGGCGCTTTTGTTTCAAACAGCGACGCTTGGGTTTTTGTTTATGTTATCGCCTTGTCGTTGCTTGGTTGTAAGGATTCTAATTTGAATTAGAGTTAATTCGGTTTAGAATTAATTAGATTCTAATTCGGGGGTACACAGTGCCTACTCTTCTTTGTTTCCAAGTATTATTTTGCGCCACAAATGAACGGCATGCGCCAGAAACGCAGCCAAATCTTGCGATTGCGACTACGAAATTCATTATTTTGGCGTCAGAGCCTGAAGCGAAAAATACAAGCATATTTATTTCAAAAAGACTTCAGGTTTGTCGAACGGTGTTATGAGAATTTTGATAACAGTACTGCATAAGTTTTTCAGTGATGCCGCAAAAGTGTTGTATCTATCTTCTTTTATTGTGCAGTCGGCGGGACCGATTCAAAATTGAGTCGTTGCTACTAAAATAGCAGCATATGGCGTCAGATGATGAACAGGAAAAATAGTTGCGTAAATTTAGACATAAACCACCCCCAAACCATGAATATCTTTTGAAGGCACTATAGACGACCATTAACTAACTAGAT